GGGTCGATCAAAATTTGAAAAGGGGGAATCGATAAGCAAATTATATACACAGTATTGTATAGCACGAGTATATAATATTTTAATATTATTTAATTATTTATAGTAATGTACAATAATTTAATAATTCTTTATATAAATAATTTATTTAAAGTTAATGAGTATATACATCATATATATATTTAAATTATTAAATAATTTATTGAAACATTTATTAAAAAGTACCTTTGTTATATTTCTCTAATTACAAATAATAATTAGAATTTAATCAAAGATAAATTTCTTAATTTAAAATATTAACTAATAAAAGACTGTAAATTTTATAGAACGGGTTGCAGACATGACAGGTGTTTCTCGTTTGTAATAATCGTTCTATAAAATTCCAGGCATATCTGCTAGGTGTTGTATAAAATTTTGAGCATTATAAGGATAAACATTAAAATTAAAGCCATAGTTTTTGGTTATTTTAGACCAACTCAAATATACAACGTTATTAGGAGGAGCTTCGAAATTTAAAAGATCCTTTACTAAGATTAGGATTTAGGAATCGTGTAGCTCCTTCATTAATTAATTATTACTCAATGCTTATAATACAATAATGCATTATATTTAAATTATCACAAAGTTTCAAGGGGATGAAATCAAGGGTATTCGAATTGTATGGTAGACTATACTTTTCTCACGGTCCTATGAAAAATTTAATACGGATCCGCCGTCAAAGGATTTAGAACTTAATAAGGGGAATGAACGGGAGGGAGGTGAAGATACTCAGGTTTTATGACAGCTCGTATTTTACGCAAGGTCTTAGAGAGTAGTTAAAAAATTTAACGCCGATCGATCGTAATGTAGACAGGAAATATACAGACTAACAGACAGACATTTTATCATCAATATACAAATACAAGTTAGATTATTATCCTTATGAAAACATGTTATAATTTAAATAAATATTGTTTCATTGATGTTTTTTATTTACTTATTATTGTTTTTGATTTATTATAACATTTATAATAATAATTACTCATTAAGGAAATATTAAAATTAAACGCATATACGTATAAGTAAATTTTATTAGATAAGCAAAAAGACAGGAAAAATTTAAGATGCTTTATCTAACCGCTTGAGAAGACGCTTGAGACAGCTGCAATTGCGGCTTTCTTACATTATTTTGCTCGAAATTCTTTGTATTTCAAGATAATCAGTCCTTTTATCTTTTAATGTTTAGTTTCAATTACTCTTTCAAGTCATAATAACTTGATTTGAACTATCTGTCTTTGAAAGTTCGACGATAATTTATAAAGTCATTATGATAAGGGTTTATTTGCATTTTTCTTTTACTTTTCCTGCTGTAATATATAACAGAGAATGTATGGCGATTGGTCATGACCCTTTTCAAGTTTTTTACATTTTTGGACGCGGGGGAACACTTTGAAACGTAGAGAAATGCAAAAAAGTTGGAGTTTTTCTGTATGTATGTATGTTAGAGGCACGATTTTTTAGCTTAGTAACTCCTGTGCCTTTTGTCTAAAATTTTTGAAATTTTTCAGGAAGATTTGTATATTAGAGGCATTGGTGCTGTTAAATTTTGGTGGTTAAAGGTCTAAGGGTGGAGAGATAGAGTGGGATCGAACTTAATGAAGATTTTACTCTTTATTAAGTTCAGTTAAGCAATTGCAAGTTTTTATAAAAGTCATATCTACCTTCAGAATTAAACGTTTTGTAGTTTTATAATTATTAATAATATAAAAAAAAGTTTTTAAAATAAAATCTCATAACAGATGGCGCAGCACATAACTTTAACTTTTTTTCCGGCAAAGCCACGCAACTCGTTGCTACATTTTTTAAAAGCCGTGAATATGAACATCGTTATTTTTATATCATAAACACTAAGATACAATTCATTCTATGCTTGTAAACAAAATTATGTTACAAATATCAAAATAATGTGTATTATCTTTATTACTACAATGACTTTAGGCAGCCTCATATTGTGTTTGGTTACCGATCGAATATAGTAAGACAAATTTTTAAGTATGTACGAAAAATTAAAATATATGAGCTACATATGTCAATTTACTAGTTATTACATTTGTTTAAATTTCCATTGTCATTATTAATATTTTTTAACAGAATGAAGCTATCAATTGTGTGTTAAGAAATTGAAAAACGTACTTGTTGATGATTTTATAAGAATTGTGTAATAATAAAAAATAGAAGTTTCAATATTTTTTCAATTTTATATTTTAACAAGTATGAATGAAATAGAAGTTACTGTAAATAACTTTATCAGTGTTTATCCCCTAAACACTCTAACCTCTAAACAATCCATGGTTGGTGGACAGCGTGTTGCTTTCTTACCATTCATTTTCCTAATAAAGCTAATTACTTGATCACGCAGTAAGGCTTTTTTGACGTCATTTATATACTGTATTCTGTTGTAAGTTTTCCTCTTTCCAGGTTTTCCCTCGCATTCTGTTTTAGGAGGTAGTTACACCAATCTGAATATTTTCCCAAGGGTTCTTTCGAATAGGAATATAGAACGATCAATTATTAAAATGTTTTGCAGACGTTTCACTAGCTGATGATCAAGGAGGCTCTTCAATGGTCTTCCCTGCTGGGAACAGTTCTCTATTAGCAGAATCTAATTCTCTAGAGTTATTCACTTAGGCCCCTACTAAATACGTACTAAACATGTATTTAATGTATTTTCGTACTGTAATATCCTGAGAAAATAAAATGAAAATAAGATGGTGGATTTCCATTTCTGAATGGAGCGCAGTTTAAATTTAAACACCGTTCTATTAAAAAAAAAAAACACATAAAATTTATTAACATAAGATTTTGTAATTTAAATGTGTTATCAACTGTTCTGTTAAAAAAAAAAAAAACAGTTATCAATGTTTCATGGCTTTTTAAAAAACCTGAAGATGGCCTGTAGAACAGGTTGAAAACATTTGTTAAAGTTAATAAATAATTTTCAATGAGATAAGTGTTGTGGAAATTAATTATATAGAAATAATACAATTAGTCTTTTGTAATTAGTCCACTTAATAATTTATAGAAGAAATTAAAATTGTATTGATTAACAATTGAAACAGTAAAATATTTTTTTATATCTCTTGCTTGAAGTTATCCTAATGTAGACTTATCTAATTTAGTCTTAAAGAAAATAAATCAGTATCAGTAAAATAGAGGAAAAGTAGAAACTCACTGAAATAAAATCAAACAATCAAAGCTTAAAACATTATGATATATTATGTAAATTTAAAGATATATAGTAGAACAAACATTTAACTATTAATTGGACTGCAATTTGAAAAAATTGTAGACCTATAAATTCTCACTGTTGTCTGTCTGGCTATCTTTCCTTAATCTTGAGAATAGAGTTAGATACATGAAAATCAATACCAGATATGGAAAACTTAAGGGCATGAGGCTCCAATTAACTATATACAAACTTCTGATGGAAACCAAAAGCCATGTTATTTCAATTCAAAACTTTTCCCCTGAAAGGAATTACATAGATGACTGGCATAACTCTATACTAACGGAAAAGTATGATGTACAGGGGCACAATGCTACAGTACTAATTTGAGGTGGAGAGCATATATTTTAAATGAAATAAATTAAAAATATGATTAAAAATTGTAACCTGGTATTGTGATGATGTCACAATAAATAATTACTTGTTTAGATGTAAAAAGTAAAAATTTTTTAAGAAATGAGATACTATAAAATATTGGAATGAGTCACAAGTAACATTGTTTTTTTAAATATGTTTTAATAGATCTTACATAAAAAATATTTATTTAATCCAATATAAAGTGTTAGATATGACATTTTTCCATCAATTTTATAAGAAAAGCTTTTTGATGCTTTTCTTATAAAAATCGTTAGAAACATTTTACAAATCAAAATCTGTGTGCTTCTGGATAACTTTCTTTTAATTAAAACTTTTGCTATTAAAATTGTTTTGAAGAAATCAAAAGAGATCTGCCAGAACTGCCAGTCTGCCTCTGGGTGCCTATTTATGATAAATGCCTCAATAATGATGGAAACTGTGTAGAAATGTAGTTTAGGGTATGGCAAATCTGATAAAAATAAGATCTGTTAATAATAGTACTTACATTCTGAATGCGCTGATATATTAATCGGAAAATTTCATAACATTCGTACAGAAGAGTGAATAAATTTCTTAAGTTTATTTTAACAGAATCATATGAAATAATTTTATAAAATTTTCTGGTTTTAATTTAAGAAAACTTTAGATATAAATAAATTTTAAAGAAATACTTATGACTTTCAGAATGTCAGATTGATTCAAAGATGATGACCTCAAATGATATTGATCAAGACATAACCAGTAATGGCAAAACTGCCCATCAGATTTCTGAGAATCAGAAAATGAGCAAAATGATGTCGGTAGAAATTCATTTTTTGGATGACAGTGTTAATTCTTTTCAAATTCAAGTAAGATTTTTTTTAAATAAAATATTTGATTTAAAAACATTTATCTTTAAATTTTCTTTGAATTTTTATATTTGTTAAAAATTTTATTTAGTAATATTTAATGTTCTAAATTATTTAATAAACATTTGAATTAAACATTCTAAATAATTATTTGAAAGTTTGGGAATGCTATTCATAACTCTCTAAATTGGTAAATTGAAGTATGACCAACTTATTTTTGTTGGTACACAACCATTAGGATATTATAAACCGATTTTGTGGAAAATTTAGATACATTTTGATTTATAAGCATGTATTCTGTTTTGTGTGTGGTATATTTTCTGGAATGCTAGCAAATAGTTTTTCCTATCATTTTAGAATATTTAAAGAAGAACTTATCATTTGTGAAACAATCTTTTTTATTTTGACTATTTTATGATATGATTCTAAAATTCAGAATTATTGATTTATTTAATTTTTTAAAAGAACGTTCTGAGTTTTAACAAAACACATTTACAGTAGANAATTTATCATATGTTATGACTAAAAATTAGATTTGGAAGAAAGCGTACATTTTACATATGTGTGGTATGGACGTTTATCTTCGGTATGATAAGTACATTTTCTCAAAATTTCTGGATGTTTGCCATATGCCGATTTTTTCTTGCACTGGGAAGAGCATCTTCGTTTTTGATTATCTATGTATTGTGTAAGTATAATTAATTATATTTAACTTTTAATAACATTATGTTATGCTAATTATGTTCAATACGTAGCAACGGAAGTGGTTGGAAAAGAATATAGACTTTTGGTTGGATTATTTGGTACAGCTGGATGGGCATTAGGGCAGATGATTCTTCCTGGGCTTGTGTGGCTTTTCAGAGATTGGTTTCATATTGAATTAATATCTGCTTTGTCTTTCATAATTTTCTTTCCATTGTGGAGGTATTCATTATTTGCTATTTACTTAAGACATTTTTGTAAGTTAATTTTAGAATTCTGAAAATAGGATAATTCCGGAATCTCCAAGATGGCTTCTTTCCCAAGGTAGAGTTAACGAAGCTGAAGAAATACTCAGATATGCTGCCAAGTTGAATAAAAGAAATGTAGTCAACTTAAATGAAAAATTACAATCGATATCAGAAAAGATTATGATAGTAAATAAATTTTCTTCAAATATTAATTTAACTTTTATTTCAATTAATTTCTTTATAAAGACAAGAGTTTTTTACATTTCAGGAGAGCGAAGGAAAGGATAATAAACAAATAACATTTTTGGATATAATGAAATGTCCTAATTTAAGAAGAATAAGTTTAATTTTATATACCGTTTGGTAAGTTTTGTAAATTTTATTATTTTTTTGACGATTTTTAAACATTTTTATAAGCTCTTTTTAATTTTGCTTCATAAAAATCCAGCAACGAGTTGCTAACTTTCCCGGCAAAAATGTTAAAATTGTGTGAGCTTTCTCTTGAGATTTTATTTAAAAACTTTTTATATTTTTAATTATTATAAAATGGAAGAAAGCTTAATTTTGAGGGTAGAAACGGGTTTTATAAAAAATTGTAAATGCTAATAACGAGTAAAATCGTCATTAATTCCGACCCTACTGGAGATATGACACATAACCCTTTCATTTCCCCACCACGTCGATCTTAAACCACCAAAATTTAATAGCATGAATCTTTCTAATACACAAACCTCCATGAAAACATTCAGAAATTTTTGACAAAAGAGCATACGAGTTATTAAGCTTCAAAGAGGATGAACAAAATCGTGCTTACCACACACAAATATACACTAATAATGTCCATCCACACAGATAAAAACATCAAATCTTTTGTTGCATTTCTCGACGTTTTAAGATCTCTCGAATCCAAAACTAAAAATCTCGGGAGGAGATCATTTTTGCTCGATCGCCGTACTTCCCAGTTATATAGGGGAGATCGGGGCAAGATCGGCATGTTAAGCTTTACTTAAATTTTGTGTAATAAATACTGCTGTAAACTGAAAAAAACCTTTTGCATATTGTCTATTGGAATGTTACCTTACTATAGAACTGGTTAAAATCAGTTTGGAAATAAAAATAATTAAAATAATTACAACTTTACAAGAAGAGAGAAATTGACGAAGTTGCCCCGGGTATAGGGGCAAGATCGGCAACTTCTCTCTTTTTGTAAAGTTGTAATTATTTTAATTATTTTTATTAAAGTTGCCCCTGGTATAGGGGCAACAGTAATGGGGCAAGATAGGCACGTATATAAAATTATGTTATTAACAATGTATAAGTTGGAATTCACTATTAAAACAAAGAAATACAAATCCAACACCCATTTAATATTATTACAACGAAATGCAAGTTCAAAGACATATATACATGAATAACAAATGCAAACATGTTTTCATTTATCATCTGTTTGATTTTTATCCTTTGCTTCTAATGTGGCTTTATGTTGCCGATCTTACCCCGCTAGTCATGATTTCGAAACATTAAGTACAACCCTGAGAACAGAATGCCAAGCCACGATCTGGCCACGTGAATAAGTTGAAGTTACATCCTTCTAACAGGAAAAGTAACTTTCGTTATCATGGAATTATAACAAAACCTGCCAATTCAATATAAATGGAAAAAAAATATTATATGGAATTCAACGAAAATGAAAATTTGCTTGATAATTCAACTACGCTTGTTGGAGAACAATAAAAACACTACACTCAACAAGCCACCAATGAAACTCAACTGCCTAACCTATAATCAAAGTTTTTTTTAAATTTGTTTTTTAAAAAAAGCGCTTGACAAACTTGCCCCGCATGCCGAAGTTGCCCCGATCTCCCCTATAACAGCCGGGAAAGTAATGATAAATTTTCTTGTTAAAGTAATGATAATTCATCTCAGTAGTGTTTCTATAAAATCAAATTTAATCACTTTTGTAAAGTTTCGATAGATGAACCAAGGATTCAGTGAATGGTTCATGATTTATCTATTAATTGACCAGGTACAAAGCAGAAATGATTAGAAAACAATTTAAATTGAGGTGTTCTATGGAATAATTTTCCTAAAAGTATGTTTTTCTGTTAAGTGCAGTACATCGAATAGGGTTTTACGGATATGGATATTCCTCCCAATGTAGTAAGCACTTTACTCGAGCGTATTTAATATTTAAACTTTGCTCACTTTATTACAAACCTTATGGAAAAAGAAGTTTCTCGAGAATTCCTGGAAATTTTAAAATTTAACTTAAATACCTTATTCTTCAATTAGAACTCCTCAAATTATTCTCCGCACAAAAAGCAATGTCAAGATTCTGCTGACTTTTTTTTTGTCTGTGTTCTTTGTTTTAGGGCTGTACCTTTGTGAATTTTCAACATCTTTCTTATAAAGTGATGTAGTTCTATTGCTTTTCTAGATTTTCTTCGTTTCACTCCAAAATTAAGAGTATTTCTTGACGCTTTTGGCACGAAATATTGGAAGCAATAGTCCTTTCCATATCTTCAGTCCTCCATTTACTATACTTCACACGTTTCAGCATTCTGCAACAAGAAGAAAAACAACTCTACTACCAAAATCAGTGCTTTTAATATAGGCTTTTTGTAAGAAAATTTGTGGTTTCGCAATTTAGAAATTTAATTATTTTAAATATAAATTTATCTTTGTTATATTCAGCTACATTTGAAACTAAAAAGTTTTTATTCTTTTATTAAAAACGCAATCCTAAAATCTGGGCTTGGATTTTGTGATTTAGAAAGTCTTTTCTCACGCACGACACATCTACGTACTTCCTAGAATTTCGTGGCACACAAATAAAATACAAATAATATAGAAGTTACAAAGTACTGTACATAAAAAATACTGACTTAATGCTTTTTACTTACTTCTTCATCGGGTTGTTAAGAAATACAATCGAAATATTTCTTAACAACTCGATGACGAAGTATCACGCTGTCCTAGCATGAAAATCTCGTTATCAGGGTCTTGGCTTTGTGATCATAGATGCACGCGACAGAGACAGAGACATTATTTTCTTGTCGCTTCACAAAACTTCGAATGGAGGCATCGACACGTGACTCGCCAAATTTACACGTGTACTGATTCTGTTATATATAACTACAAAAGTGTAAAAGTTTGAAGCTCGTTAGAATTTCTTCTGCCACAAACTTCAGTGATAATAAACATGTAACAGGCAAATCATTGTGCTTTTTGAATCAACATATAATTATAATATTCACGGGAGCATCATAAACTCTGTGACTTTTTTTCTTCCTGGAGTTATTGAGCCATGGCACACTTAGCATCATCTCACTACGTACTGGTTGGGAAACTCTAATTTAGAATATTCGTATATTAACACCTCTTTTGATATGAAAGTGTATTTTTGTTATCAAAAAGTATACTTGTTAGTTTTATTAATGGCCCAAAATTTAATAGCATGAATCTTTCTAATACACAAACCTCCATGAAAACATTCAGAAATTTTTGACAAAAGAGCATACGAGTTATTAAGCTTCAAAGAGGATGAACAAAATCGTGCTTACCACACACAAATATACACTAATAATGTCCATCCACACAGATAAAAACATCAAATCTTTTGTTGCATTTCTCGACGTTTTAAGATCTCTCGAATCCAAAACTAAAAATCTCGGGAGGAGATCATTTTTGCTCGATCGCCGTACTTCCCAGTTATATAGGGGAGATCGGGGCAAGATCGGCATGTTAAGCTTTACTTAAATTTTGTGTAATAAATACTGCTGTAAACTGAAAAAAACCTTTTGCATATTGTCTATTGGAATGTTACCTTACTATAGAACTGGTTAAAATCAGTTTGGAAATAAAAATAATTAAAATAATTACAACTTTACAAGAAGAGAGAAATTGACGAAGTTGCCCCGGGTATAGGGGCAAGATCGGCAACTTCTCTCTTTTTGTAAAGTTGTAATTATTTTAATTATTTTTATTAAAGTTGCCCCTGGTATAGGGGCAACAGTAATGGGGCAAGATAGGCACGTATATAAAATTATGTTATTAACAATGTATAAGTTGGAATTCACTATTAAAACAAAGAAATACAAATCCAACACCCATTTAATATTATTACAACGAAATGCAAGTTCAAAGACATATATACATGAATAACAAATGCAAACATGTTTTCATTTATCATCTGTTTGATTTTTATCCTTTGCTTCTAATGTGGCTTTATGTTGCCGATCTTACCCCGCTAGTCATGATTTCGAAACATTAAGTACAACCCTGAGAACAGAATGCCAAGCCACGATCTGGCCACGTGAATAAGTTGAAGTTACATCCTTCTAACAGGAAAAGTAACTTTCGTTATCATGGAATTATAACAAAACCTGCCAATTCAATATAAATGGAAAAAAAATATTATATGGAATTGAACGAAAATGAAAATTTGCTTGATAATTCAACTACGCTTGTTGGAGAACAATAAAAACACTACACTCAACAAGCCACCAATGAAACTCAACTGCCTAACCTATAATCAAAGTTTTTTTTAAATTTGTTTTTTAAAAAAAGCGCTTGACAAACTTGCCCCGCATGCCGAAGTTGCCCCGATCTCCCCTATAACAGCCGGGAAAGTAATGATAAATTTTCTTGTTAAAGTAATGATAATTCATCTCAGTAGTGTTTCTATAAAATCAAATTTAATCACTTTTGTAAAGTTTCGATAGATGAACCAAGGATTCAGTGAATGGTTCATGATTTATCCATTAATTGACCAGGTACAAAGCAGAAATGATTAGAAAACAATTTAAATTGAGGTGTTCTATGGAATAATTTTCCTAAAAGTATGTTTTTCTGTTAAGTGCAGTACATCGAATAGGGTTTTACGGATATGGATATTCCTCCCAATGTAGTAAGCACTTTACTCGAGCGTATTTAATATTTAAACTTTGCTCACTTTATTACAAACCTTATGGAAAAAGAAGTTTCTCGAGAATTCCTGGAAATTTTAAAATTTAACTTAAATACCTTATTCTTCAATTAGAACTCCTCAAATTATTCTCCGCACAAAAAGCAATGTCAAGATTCTGCTGACTTTTTTTTTGTCTGTGTTCTTTGTTTTAGGGCTGTACCTTTGTGAATTTTCAACATCTTTCTTATAAAGTGATGTAGTTCTATTGCTTTTCTAGATTTTCTTCGTTTCACTCCAAAATTAAGAGTATTTCTTGACGCTTTTGGCACGAAATATTGGAAGCAATAGTCCTTTCCATATCTTCAGTCCTCCATTTACTATACTTCACACGTTTCAGCATTCTGCAACAAGAAGAAAAACAACTCTACTACCAAAATCAGTGCTTTTAATATAGGCTTTTTGTAAGAAAATTTGTGGTTTCGCAATTTAGAAATTTAATTATTTTAAATATAAATTTATCTTTGTTATATTCAGCTACATTTGAAACTAAAAAGTTTTTATTCTTTTATTAAAAACGCAATCCTAAAATCTGGGCTTAGATTTTGTGATTTAGAAAGTCTTTTCTCACGCACGACACATCTACGTACTTCCTAGAATTTCGTGGCACACAAATAAAATACAAATAATATAGAAGTTACAAAGTACTGTACATAAAAAATACTGACTTAATGCTTTTTACTTACTTCTTCATCGGGTTGTTAAGAAATACAATCGAAATATTTCTTAACAACTCGATGACGAAGTATCACGCTGTCCTAGCATGAAAATCTCGTTATCGGGGTCTTGGCTTTGTGATCATAGATGCACGCGACAGAGACAGAGACATTATTTTCTTGTCGCTTCACAAAACTTCGAATGGAGGCATCGACACGTGACTCGCCAAATTTACACGTGTACTGATTCTGTTATATATAACTACAAAAGTGTAAAAGTTTGAAGCTCGTTAGAATTTCTTCTGCCACAAACTTCAGTGATAATAAACATGTAACAGGCAAATCATTGTGCTTTTTGAATCAACATATAATTATAATATTCACGGGAGCATCATAAACTCTGTGACTTTTTTTCTTCCTGGAGTTATTGAGCCATGGCACACTTAGCATCATCTCACTACGTACTGGTTGGGAAACTCTAATTTAGAATATTCGTATATTAACACCTCTTTTGATATGAAATTGTATTTTTGTTATCAAAAAGTATACTAGTTAGTTTTATTAATGGCTATCAACATCCGTTGTAATACCAGACTTGTTATGCACAGAATAGGAAATTAGCCCGATTAGGACATCATCAACGTTTATTGGTTTATATTAACTGGAAAACCTTCTCGCCCCTCATCAGCCCCTGTACAAGTTATACATTGTAAGTAATTGTTCATCTTTTTAGACACATGAATATACATACATATATAAGAATTTCACTTACACATTTTGATGATGACTACATTATCCATTTTTGAAAATTAACCATTAACTTTTTAACCATACAACCACGGGTGTTAACACCACTAGAACCAAATTTTCCACTTTCAATCATTTCCAGTTCCAAAGTACTGTACATTTTACAGCCCCATTCCCTTCCATTCCCTGTTTTTATTCTATTCTGGTCTATGTTGGTTTTATTGTAACCATTCATTATCATCAATTATTCAAAAATTTTAGATTTTTATTATTTCATTTATTTATTTCTTGATCACCAAGGGTCGTTGTTCTATTTTGTATTTTTTCCGTGTACTGTACATACGCAACACATTCTCTTTTATATACTCGTCTGTACATGGGTATTTTCGATGTATAATTCATAATTTTTGGTATTGAACATGGTTTTACATATTTTTAAATTTGTAACTGATTATTTAGTCTTTTTTATTTGAACATCAAGGAAATTCAACTTAGTATTATCTTCATTCCATATTTCAATCTTTGTCATTATCTAAATAATATTGTATTTTTAAATAAATTGTTGACCTTATTTAAATTATCTGAATATTGGTTTCTCTTACATCATGTGTTAAAAAGTAATCATCTACATAACGAGAAAATTGTTTTATATCTTGTATATATACAGTATGCTCATCCAATGACCTCATAAATAACTCAGTCAAAATGGAGCCTATGCATGTTCCCAATGAATACTATTCTCTTGACCATAATATCCATCATCATATTTAAAATAGTTATTTTGCATAATCAGCATAACTAAGTCAAGAATCCAATTAGGACTCTTCATGTCAACTAAAGTTTCCTGTATTTTTCGGGTTAAGTTTTTATGGACATTTTTATGCATGAAATTCGGCTAAGAAGGTAAAAAAGGCTCTGTTTTGGGAGTCGGGAACTGATTAATCCATATTATGCTGTTTCTTATGGGAAAATTTGTTTCGGTTTTCGAACTTTTAGGAACGAATTAAGTTCGAAACCCGAGGTTTGACTATAATTTAATATCCTTATTATGATGAAATGAATTGAATGCATTCGCATTTTGTCGATCGAATGCATTCAATTATTATAATACCGCTGTATACCAAAGAAAGATATATTCAGTATGTCAAGTTATTTTTAAAATCTCAAATGCTGAGCTTTTGATTTATTTAATTCATAGATTTCAGTTGCAGATTTAAAATTTTCTGTTATATTTAACTTGCAGGATATCGAATGTATTGTCGTATTACGGATTGTCATTCTCAGCTGATGATATTGGAGTAGACAGCTTATTATTCTTTTTTCTCGCTGCTTTAGTAGAAATACCAGCATGTGTGCTTTATTTCTACTTTCAGCACCATATTGGTAGGAGGCTCATGCTAATTATTCCCATGGTGATAACCGGATTAATATGCCTTATTGCTATTTCTGTTCCAAAAGGTATGTATAAATAAATTATATATAAAAACTATAACTTATGATTATTAAAAATACAAAGTGTGGATTTACTTTTACAGATTTTTCAATCATTCTAATTGTTTTAAGTGTTGTATCAAAGTTCAGTATGTCGATATCATTAATTACCATATACTTATTACCCGCTGAGATCTATCCAACTGTTGTACGTAATGTTGGTTTAGGATCATGTTCAATGATGGGGCGCTTAGGAGCAATAGCGGCTCCATTTATGAAAGAAGCAGTAAGTAATGAAATTGAAAAAAATTGAGAAAAATTATGTATATAAATGTACTGAGCATTTTCAACAATTATACTATTAAATTTCCTATTTTATTTATCTAGGCAATCCATGTACATAGAGTCTTTCCTCTTGCTTTGTTTGGAATAATATCTATATTTGGAGCTCTATTGGTATTATTATTACCAGAGACAAAAGATTTGAAATTGACTGATACCTTAGCACAAGGCGAACATGTAGGAAGGTTTGTATTTAATGTGCTACAGTAATTTACTTTAAATATGTAAAATAACGAACAAAAGAAGATATGAGTGGATAAATGTGTTATGTTACAAATTCGAAGTTTTGAGTGAATTGATGTTCAAGTTTTTATTAAGTTATATAATTATTTCGATTTAACTGTATCCAACGACACAGTGTGTCTCAAGGAGTATGACAGTGTCGTTTAATTTTCGAGTTATTTGATAATGGTATGTGAGAAGCGGATACATCTTCATCCATATAGGACAGTCGTGTTTTGAATGATATAACATAAGTTTCTTCCACTCATATCTTCATATTTGCAGTTCGTTGAATAAGAAATTCGTCATATTGTAATGAAATATGTAGAATTTCATTTATTAATTACAATTTAATTTGCTAACGAATGTAAACTGTTAATGGCATTCTATATATCAATTTGCACTTATAGCACCTATAATGTTTTATAAGATTTTACTTTTTTGTAAACATTTCATTATGGTTTTTTTTGAGTAAAATTCATAGCATTTTTTGTAATTTTATCATTTCTTCTTCTTTTTAAGCAATTCCAGTAGCTTTGTCAGTTTGTTTGTTCAAATTCTCAATTTTCATACTTGTGTAGTTATTTTATGAAAAGAGCTTCATCTTAGTAATTATCGTAACCAGGTAGTTAGGACCCTTACCTTCGTACATGAGTAAATTAAGAAAATCTATACTAATATTATAAAGAGATAAAGTTTGTAAGTTTGAATGTAGGAGGTAATCGCCGAAATTCTCGTCCGATTTCAAAAATTCTTTCACCAATATTTACAATGGAACTTCAGGGTGGACATAAGCTGTATATTATTCCGTTAAACATTCATATAAATTAAAAGATATCATCTAGGATTAAGGCTTTTATGTCCAACAGATGGCGCTAACTCCGCGAGTACGACGCCCGAAGTTTGCTTTTCTGTGAAAATGAACTAAAGCGGATCATCATCTATCTATCTATATAAATAAAAATGTAATGTTCGTTTGTTCCTACCGATTCCTTTGAAATTTTGATACAACGTTGCATTCGAATACGCACGTGTTTTTATATAATATACATGTGGAAATCCCCCCGGGAGATGGACAGGATTAAGGCTTACCGTAAAGAACTCTGCTTCTATTTATACTATTTTAGATGCGGTTTTTTGCGTTTTAATAGGATACGTCAAGAGAATGTACACTAAGAAGGGATTTTTCGAAAAATCCCCCCACGGGGAAGTGTTATACATTTATAGTAGATACATTTTGAGGCACAATAACGCGTGATGGCGTCTGCTAATATTAAATAAGTACAGGAGAAAGATTTGAATGTGACAAACGAACTTAAACACTATAATATTCTAAGAATTTACTCTTCATCTACAGCGCATTTACCAGTAGTTACATCCCTAGTGGTACAGGGTATTTGGGCCATTCAAAAATCGGTTCTTGTTATGTTATTGACGTATGCCCTGGTTTAATAAACACATTTCTCTTACTAACGGAAAAAATAGGATACTTTGCTTACTTCTGCAATGTAACGTAACCCTATGTTTTGCATTAGTCCTTCTTGCATTGTGTTTTGTTTCGTATAGCACGGATTCGCAAAACACGGTAGTTTTCGGAACGTAACTACCGTGTTATACGAGGGATACTTATATACTGTTTGTTTTTATATACAGGGTAACCATATTTAGTTTCCCTATTTAGAGCACTTTGTAACTGTAATCAATAAACGGACTGACACCAAAATTTGTATACAGAGTATACAAAGGATGCGAAAAAGGATTTTGCAAAAACTTTTTCTAGGAGACGTCTTACAGGAAAAATGCATGAAAAAAAAACCAACATAAACACTATGTTGTTTTATTTCGTTGCACGTGAACATTACAGTTTCATAAAACGCCCCGTAATTCAAATTCTCCTGGACCCCATGAAGCTATAACGAGTCAATGTAAATGAATTACCAATATAATACAAATTTAAAAGTGGGACGGATTTCCTGGATTTCGTTTTCATTTTCAGGAGTCATTTTGATATTATCGTAAAGACGATAAAGATCTGTAACTTCTGATTTTAAGAGTTGGTGCTAACGCTATTAATATCTCTAACTATCGAAAATATAAAGAAATATAATTTATTGATAACTATAATTGCCGTAGTATATAGAAGATAGAAAATTGCCGTTTTACAACGAAGAATCTTAAAAAGTTCTGTTTTAAATCTTATCAAATGCATTTATACAGAAAATTATTTAGAGAGTTTCATACACTAGCTTCAAAGGCCTTACTGTCTTTCCTCAAATCCTAACAGGCAATTAGGGGAATAGTCATGTCCTTACGAAGCCAATTCATATTCTCTTAGTAGAAACGTGACCCCTTAAAAAGGTTACTTATAAATATTTTTATATCATTTAAATTTATTAAATAAGGTCGTTACAGATGTTTAATTGTTAAAATTATCTTGTAAAAACGCAGTTTTGTTAGTTCATATATCTTTTGCTGGCTGTTAGTAGCATCTTCATTTACAAAGTACTCAGTAAATGTACTGTATTTTTCATGCAGTAATATTCTAGTTCTATTATAGCTGTAAGTTAAGAGTTGTAATGAATATTTTATTACCTTTAAACAAAGTATTTTTAAATATTAATAAATTTTTTATTTATATTATTTTAGATGTACAACTTATGTTCTTGTAAAGAAATCAGAAAATCAAGAAGCAGTGGAGGATAATAGTACAGCAAATAAGTTAATTTAAAATATCCAATAATAATTAATGGAAATGAAATCGGTATATCTCATATTTCTTCGAAAAATGCATTACAAAACATTAAACTTCATCACGGGTAAATTGTTAGAAAAAAAATAATAAATATGAATAGTCATTTGCATAAAATTTTATTAAAAATCTCAAATGCAAGGACTCCAAATTATGTTCAGTTGTAAAAAGTATTGAGCATGTTGTGTTGAAGTTGTTATATTTTTGTAATATTCAGTTATTTGCATCATTAACTTTTTGTCTATAATTTACACTAAAGTAGGTTTGCAGTTTTTAAATACAAAGACAATAAACTAAATCAAAGTGAAGCCCTTACTTTCTAATAAAAAGAAGGAAAATAAAATAAAAGCAAAACATATTAAGTAACGTAAATTTAAATAAGGATTATGTACGGTATAAAATGGATAAATGTTAATAATTAATTTATAGACATCGGTAAATTTATAGTGTAATTTTAAAAAAGTATTTAAAAGTTTATTAGATTTAATCTAATTGCGAATTGTATTTTTAGCAAAATTTTTCATTTAAAATTATAAGCGTTTTGCATTGTGTAAACATTCTCATAGAATTGTCAAAAGATGTCTCCAGTATTGTTACTTTAATTTATAAAAATTACAGTTTATTAATACTAAGAAAGATTTGAGAAATCGTTGTAAAGAAAGCAAAACAACAGACAAGGACTCTTGCTCGACTTTCCCTGCACCCAAACAGGAGTTAATAAGACCATTAGGAATACGGATAATTTTCAATTATGTTACGATATAATTCAATGCTATAATATAAAATTTACATTTAAAAAATAATAATTTTGTCGAATTGCGATGAAAATCTTCATTTTAAAAAATAATGCGAAATTCCACAAATTATAAAAAAATTAATGTGTGATGCCATCTGTTATTAAATATACCGAACTCCCGATTATCGATAAAGATTTTATTGTGGGACCTCAAAGTTTTACTGTTGAATACAAGTTGAAAACCCCTGACCAATTCTATACAATATCGATTCCACATTTTATACTCTAATGATGATTGATTTTGTACTCACAATAGTAAAACAATTGTTTAAATCTTTATAATTAGTTATTCTTCTGTTTTTAATTGAACATACACTTTTTACACGATAAATGAAACAATTAATTAAATTAACTTCTCCCTACGCGATGTTTATAGTCCTTGAACACCTATCATTATGACTGTAGTAATCAATACATATTTTGACTATTTTAATGCTCAAAATTGTTTTCAGTGTAGAGCACCATTATTAACTGTAAATTTGCAAGCTTATGAAATACTATTCACGAACGATAATTTTATACCTCCTTTTTTTTAAATTATTTTATAACAGTTTATTTATATTTAATATTATAACGAAAATCATTTAAACATGAAAATCCTCTTCAAAAATATTAAAAGTGTTTCCTGTAACAAAATATAATTGTGTTACTCAAAAATATCTGATAACACTATATCTTTAACAAGTAATTTTGAAACAGTATTAGTTACTAGAATTTAACTCTGTAACGAAAATTATTATAAACTAAACATGCTCTTCAGGAAGATTTTTAGACATATTTACTGTAACTAAGGATAATTCTGTTACGAATATCTGAATAAACTGTGTCTTCCATACTTTAATAAACATTGATTTATTTGATATAAATTATTTCGTATCATGCGTAATTTTTTTAATTCTTTACTTGTGATAAGTTGTTATCCAATTGTGAATTTTTAGTTATTGGTAAAAATAAGGTCAAAACTATGCTTATAATAATAATCGTTTCAAAAAAAAAGGTTAAACAATGCAAAGGGAAATAAAATATGATCATTTATGCTTAAAGAAATTATATAGTATTTCAGATTAAAAAACGACAGAAGCTGGTATTGTAGCCAGGGAGTAGAATAGTATGTTTACACCGATATCATAGACTGAGAATGATGATTCAAAATATGAAAGAACAGTTGTTATTCTGTAGAAGAAATGTTAAATTACGAATAATTAAACGTTCTGTCTTATTTTTGTTAATTCGTTTTATTTAATTCTGGTAATTGTGTTTCTTATTTAAGTGTTTTTTTGGCAATTTTATGGTTTTATTTCATATATAATTGTGTACAATTAGCATCTGCTTTTATTAATTTTGCTGTACAGCACAGTTTATAAATAGAATAGCTAGAGCTTAATTGTTACGAAATATTAAACAGTATAAATTATTACATATTTGTAACATTTCATTAAACCCGGTATTGTGAAAAAGCATAAAAACAATAACGGATAAATTCTAAAATCTAATTTAATAATTATTATATGAATAATTAATTAATCTTCAAGCTCAATCGTGGTTATAGAACTATAAGAGGTTAAATGTAAAATCATAATTTTCAGAAATGGGTTTTGAAAATCGTACTAGCCAAAAATTTGCTATTTTGTTTAATCGTTTTGAGTTGTATAATCTCCTTAGGTCCCAAATAAAACGTGTTCGATATAATAATAGGAATAATTTATTATTGGAAAACTGCAAAATTTAGAGTTATGCAGAATATAATGTATATTTTGCAATTGTTTTGACAAATTTTTTAAAACGAATTAACACTGACTATAGTCTTATTTACTTATGCTGCATTGTTATCAATCGGCAATTTTATCACAGGTTAATTTCATTGTATAGTATAATACACAAACGCCAGAAGTTTTATTGCGTTCTATTACACGATGCCACTACTGAATATTTTAATGGAAATAATTTAAACCAAGAATAAAGAGTAAACCAATTACCTCGCGTATTACTTTTTGTACGTGAATGCTTACTGGTTAAAACTAACAACAATGAACTTTTTATATAACAAAAATGACACTCCAGAAGTTTCTTTTTTGATTGAAGTATAAGTTTGTTAATATTTTCGTTAACATTAGTTTAATTAATACAGGTAATAATACTTACTTTTAAAAGATCTCATGCCGTTTTTAAAATAATTTGAAATAATTCACAAAAATAAAGAATTCTTAATAAAAAAAATGGTGATTAAAAAAACAACAAATTGCTCAAAGGGAATGTAGCTGTATCCATAACGTCTGGTCAATATTTATCAGGCTGCGCGGCCATTTTAGTCATTATTCATAATGGCTGGGCATTATAAATAATGTCCTATTGGTTCACTTGGTCCATGACATAACAGAGAGAAAGTATGGAAATCGGTAAAAAATGACCCCCAGATTTTTAACTTTTGGACTCGGGACCTTAAAACGTATAGAAATGCAAAAAAAAACTTCGGAGGTTTTTTTCTGTATATATGTTGTGTACCCTTTCGAAGTTTAATAACTCCTGTGCTTTTTGTCGAAAATTTCTGAAATTTTCGACAAAAATTTTATATAGAGGTTAGTATACTAGGGGATTGATGCTATTATATTTTTCTGGTTAAAGATCGAGGGAGTAAGGAAATAAAGGGGTTGCAGGTCATATCTCTAGTAAGGTCAGACATAATGACGATTTTACTGGTTATTATAAACATTATAAAACTCATTTCTACTCCGAAAATTAAGGCTTTTGCCATTTTATAATCATTAAAAGTATAAAAATATTTGATAATAAAATATCATAAAAGATAATGCCACAAACGCAATTTTATTCATAAATAATTATTTATCTTATCACAAATAGTTAAGTGCATTGTAAACAGTACAGCAAACGTATTTCTTCAATTTTCTTTTACATAATCTTCTTTCTCGAAATTCCTTGTAAGCACGTATACTTTATGCCTGAAAAACAGCGAAATTATTAATTACATATTTGATAGTCCATCGGTTATAGTAACGACGGAACCGTTTTACGATTTAAAATGAACTAACTTCTTATTATTAGAGTCATCAACCAATATTTAAAAAGTATTTTTTTAAGAACAAACCTTCCAATAGTTTCTCCTTGTTCTATGGTATCCACCAACTCCATATTTTTCGTTTCCGGTAAGAAAAACACTAATAAACCTCCGATAAGTGACAAGGTACCAAATAATGCCAAAGGAAAAGATCTGTCTATTTGAGATGCCTGAAATGACAAGATCTCTATTACAATTAACTCAGATTCTTTTAAGAAATTTATAAACTACGTCATTACTATTTACCGCTTCTTTCATGAAAGGAGCAGCTATGGCTCCGATTCTTCCTACCGTCGAGCAAGATCCTAAACCAACGTTGCGGACTACAGTGGGATAAATCTCGGACGATAGAAGATATAACGAGCTAAAGGATACGGACAGACTGAATTTGGACACAACAGCTAAACTAATGAGAACTTTATGGAAATCTGCAATGAAAATTATTGAAAATTGTAAAAAATACTTAGCATTGAAAGAAATAATTGGATATATTTGAAACACACCTTTAGGTACAGCGATAGCTACCAGACAAGCCGATCCACTTACTATCAAGCAAGCTATTTGCGTATATCTCCTACCAACAAATCGCTGAAAGTAGTAATATGAAAAACTCGCCGGTATTTCTAATAATGCAGAAAGAAAGAAGAATAAGAGCACGTCCAACCCAATGTCGTCGGCCGAGAATGATAACCCGTAATAAGATATTACGGTGGAAATCCTGTAAAGAAACTTCTTTGTACAGCCAACGAATAAAGGCCTTTCGTATATAGTCTACCGACAATGTTCTTACAGAAAATTTAAACGAAAATAAAACTTACCAAGCAACGTACAATATAAAAGACATTCTTCGTAAATTGGGAGATTTCATTATATCCGAAAAGGTCGCCTGGTTATTTT